GGGCCGTTGCGCGGGCGGAGGCGCTGAAGAGAGGGAGGGGGGATGGCGAGAGGTGAGCTCCTTCAGACGTACCGTCAGGGACGGTTTGTGCTTGGTCTTACACGCAGCCTCGCGTTCCTGTGGCAGTGACAAACGCCTCATAAATTAGCGTGTTTTAAGTATTTCTGTTGAAAAGGGGTTGTCTCTTGTCTTTAGAACTGCAGGCTGCCTGGGCCCACTGTTATTTTATATTATTGCGGTATGTAATACCTAAAATGTAGTCGCTTCGATGCTGTAATCAAGATGGGGGCTGGTTTTGCTGAAAGCTGTACCAAAAGAATGAGTTTCTTTCTGTGGTTATGGATGGCAGTGAGGATCAGCTTTTGTTGATGCATATGCAACAGCAAGAAAATGCAGGTTTATCTAGCACAGTAAATGGGCATGAGGCAGAAAAGAGGATAAGGGTGAAAATGACAACCAGATGTGTTTGTATGCACTAGAAAAGAGAACACCTAATTTGATGTCAGAGCATTTGTGTTTGTGTTTTTACGGTAAAATGTCACTATACAAATGTTAGTAATCTTTGCTGGCCATCTGCCTAACAAGATTTTGAATGTCAACCTTCTTCTTCTTGCTGTCTTTTGTAGGCTCAGTGCTTAGTGGTATAGAGAACATATGGACATAAGACCCTGCCCCAAGAATGAACAGCTCGAATCTTTCATACCAGACAACTAAAACCCCCACCACATGCATGCTGTTTTCAGATTTGGGCACAACATAAGTGCTTTAAAATTCAAATAAAATCCCTGGTGCAGTGATGACAGCCAGCTTGGAAGTTTAACAGAGACTATGAGATAACGGCCAAATTCCTAGCCCTTCCACTTGGAAACTCAAACTGTCTCCTTCATGGAAACCTCTTCTTACAGGCATAGAGGCTATTGCTCCTAGTAGGATTTCTTCTATGATCTCAGAGAAACAGGTTTCAATGTAAGTAACCGTTGTGTCAAATACATCCATGTTCATCAGCAGTGTCTTTGCCTACTGAAAAATGTGAAGGTACTCGGATATTGCCTGGCTAACTGGGTGACAAAAATAGGTTTGGAATACCCGACAACGTGACTGAAGTGTGATGATGGAAATCTGTACAAAACTGGTATGCCTGGCTTAAAAATGCTTGTAACCTCCCACTTTCACAAATCCTAATATTTCCATTTCTTTCCTGAAACAAGATTCAGACGTGAGTTTTACTCCAAAAAACCTAGAGCAAGTGCATTGGCAGCATTCTTGTTTTGAAGAAATGAATATGCGAATGTAGCAAGAAACCTTACAGTGGATGCAGTGATGTTGCCAGTGATAAACTCTGTTTTGTCCTGCAACACAATAGTTCTGCACAAATTGACCAAAAATGAATATAAATCTACTATAAATCCAAAATACATGAAATAAAAAACTATAAAATTATATACAAAATGTAAAATTAAAAAATTTGTATCTAGTCTTTTTCAGGCTAGATGATGTATTACAATTTTCAATAAATTATCCCACTTCTAGGAAAAAGAGTAGATGCTTATGACTGAGGTACACAAAGTATGATGGGAGCATGATGCAATACTTGGTTATAGTTGCCTGGACTTCTAGGCATGTATAATCACTGTTTTGTGAAAATGAGCTGAAAATACCAGGCTCTGTACTTATTTAGCTGTGTAAATTATACAACAGCACAGTGCAATATAAAATTATAGAAGCAGTTTTTGTCACATTTGCAATAGCCTTTATAAATGATTTAATCCTTGCCAAGAGATGTTAGGCATCTGAAAAAGTACACAAACCGTTTCTCCTACTTTAAAAATAAAATTATACATTTCACATATTCTGAGATGGTCTTACTTTGATTCACTCCATTTTTGAGTTCTCCTAATATGAAGAAAAAACCAGAAAAGTCTAAAGACTGGCAAATGTCTAATAAAACAGGATAAAACCTCACGTTTTTAGGAACTGTCAAGTGTATTACTCATACACCTATACATATAAAATAAATAAGGTTTAAAACTACACAAATGAAATGGCAACTAGTGTACTAATATAGCTCAAACACTCAATGCATAATTTTATGGTAATAGTCTCATTTATGTCAGTGGGAACTACTTAGCAACCGAGATTGTACAGATGCCTAAATGAGAGGTTTCCATCCAAATCTCCATTTGCATTAATGCTCATTAAGGTAATACTGACACCAGTGGTCGTTGGCTGGGGCTCAAAGTTAATAACGTTTTTAGTTAGGAGATTAAAATTGAGGCATTATTAACGCATTTTGATTTTTTCATTAGAAGCAAATTGTCTAATGTGAAGGAGAAGGAGGTTTGTTTTGTTGTGCTTTTTTATGTTGACAGTGAGTATGTCAAAGCTGTCAGGAGGCAGTTTGGCTTGGTTTGAGGTTGTCTTCTGTGGCAGTGTATGGGAGACCTAAAGATCGTCTTATACGTCGGCCGGCCACAAACTGCCAACAGCAAAATGACAGCTGAAACCAAAACAGTCCTGCTAGCTCTTTCCACCTTTAACTGACCTATGAAGGTGAAAAGTCTGAAGAGAGCAGAAAGTTGTTCATGTTGTATCATTTCTGTACAAAATATTTATTTCCTACTCCAATTTTTCTTTACTGAAGCATGAGTGTGCTATGAGTGGGTATGTGGTTGGAACAGCAGAGGACATATATCCTATGACTAAGGATGAGAATGTCTTTTCTCTGTAAGACTTAGAGGGCAGCAACAGTAGCTCTCTTGGAGAGAGTCAATAGATAAACGTTAGTTTGTTTAACCATAACTGCATTAGTAACAGGTTTTGAAGCAGTGACCGGGGAAACGGGGCAAATTTACTGCATGAGTTAGGGCACGAGGTGGAATGGTATGAAGTTAGCTGAGTAGAGAGAGGTCAGGTTGTTGGTATGATGGAGTGAATGGGAGCCGGCTGATTGTAGTGTGGCCTAAGTAGGCCGTGAGGGAGCAGTAGGAGGTCAGTTAGCAGAGTGGGAATAGCAGTGGGAAGTCTTCTGTGAAGCAGTGCACGGCATAGCTGGTTGGTTGTGGAGCTATGAAAGGTGGGAAGGGCATTCAGATTGGGGGTGGCAGTTACAGAGCAGTTATGTTCTTGTGTCATAAATCAAGAATGGGATGGGGGTGGTAATGAGAGACTGAAAATAGATAGTGAAAGGGATGGGAACAGCAATAAACAGAGAGGATGGCAGCGTGTGGCCTGTTATTAAAGGCAGCAAGTGAGATAGAAGGTGATGGGAGAGGTACAGTAGCAGGTAGTGAATGGTTTGGGGGTGGCAGTGGCAGACCAATGGTCGACACAGTTTAGCGCGCTGTCATTACATGGGTGGGAAGTGTTGGCTGTTTTTCCTTCTTGCACTGAAGTCACTGATTGCTGGGCAAGGGCAAGCTGCAGAAAGCAAGGAGGTGAAGTTTGGGCTAGGGCAGAAACCTGCTCATCCCCTGCTGGGCCGCGGTTTCCTGTCAGCTACGCGCAGTTTGCTGCCCCAGGGCAGCTATGCTAGCAAGCAGGGCCTGTGGCTCTGGTGACCCGATTCTCACTGTGGCAAGAAGACAGCTGTAGGGTCAGCCCGCAGCACCCGAGGGTGGCCAGCTGTCAGGGGAGGGAGTTCAACAAGCTCCTGAAAGGGGTTGTCGTCGGTCGGGGCGCGTTTCTGTGCAACATCTTGTGCTGCTGCCCAAGAAAACGGAGAGGAGGAAAACTGATGATAAACGAAACCTCTGCAAAACCGGGACCGGGCTTGGAAACTGAAGGGCGGAACAAAACAACAAGCCTCAAAGGGACCAAAAGCATATAGATACTTGTGGAAGACTGTAGTAACAGGCCAAACATAACGATGCTTCTTGCTACTGCCTTCCCCATCCCCAGCCAGGCGCGGCCGCCGCTGGCCTCTCGCGAGGGACTTTTCTTCCCCGGGGGGCGCCGGGTCTCCCCCGCGGCCGGCGGGGG